AGTTTCTTTAGTTGCTCGCTGCCAGATGAGGGCATTGATGGCCTCATTTTGGTTCTGAGTGCCCCCATGACGTCACATGGCATCTGAGTGGGAAGCGAAAGTCAAACACTAGCCAACTTTTTTTGTGTCGAGAAAGTATTGGCCATTGATAACTAACAAAAGTTGACAAAGTTAAAAAGTTTCCTGTTCTACTCCTGACACGAAGTTTATCTTAATGTACATGTATATCACTACCCACTCCACTTTTAATTATAAAATATTGTATTGTCTTCTGTTACTTTTATTCCAAATTGGTTAATGTTAATTGACGGTGAAATTCATTCCTATAAATATACTCAACCACTCATCTGATTGGTCAAGAACACGGATATTCGATAAGCAATCATTTACATGGGCGAATTGGTGATTCATTTAGCTGTTCTTATGCAAACTGGGTAAGGGAGAAATACTAAGACAAACATTCTGACCTGAACCAGGAAGGTGGATATTTTTCCCATTTTCGTTCTGTCAGCATCTTAATCACAAGGTGACTTTAAAAAATTCCTGCGAAGGAAAAAAGAAAAAATGTAAACAAAATGAACCAAAAAAGTGAACTAAAGGAATTCATTAAGGTCTTCTAGCGACACGCGCAAATTTAAAGAAGTGAAGTGTTGTAATTTGAGGAGACAACCTTCCAGAAATAAAGCACCTTTTTGCTATAACACTGATCTTTAGTTCTGTCTAGCTGTGTGTCGCTGTTAACTTTCTATCCTTGTGCAACGTCTGGTTACGATGCTTTGCCAAATAGTAGCAACGAGATTTTGACGTATACTCAAATTCAGTATCATCCGACAAACTGCCGTTGACGTCACTCTCCAGTATATCATAGGTTACGTGAAAGTGTGTCAAGAGCAGCCATAACCCAGGGTAGTAGTTGAAAGGCTTCTCTGAAGCCGTTCGGAATGACGTCCTGGGTGCTGAGAGTACTGTTCAAAATGGCGGTAACGAATTAACTGAAAGAACTGGCTACACTCTAGCTGATCGACGTATACAAGATACGTTAATCTTAGCTTTTAAAGCTGTCAGCAACCTACATATTTAAGTGACTTGTTTACTATTCGTGAGAACATGAGGAATCTAAGGAGCACCAACAAGCTTGTCATCCCTAAAGTTAACACCACCCGTTATGGGAGTAAGTCCGTGGCCTACACTGCTTCAAAAGCTTGGAATTCACTTCCGGATACACTACGTTGTATGAAGACACNCGAAAGTAACACTTTGATCCTTCGATCTATTCGAAGCTTATTCGGCCATGCAAAAGTACTTAATCTCGCTTTTGTGCTCGAGTGATAGATTCTAGGTGATATTTTCCTCTTACGCTATTGACGAGTTAATCTCGACCAATAATTATTTTGCGTCCAAATGTTTGACGCGATATGCAGAATTTGAAACGATGCACGTTCACAAGTTTTTCTTCCACCCACACCCTACTCTAAGAACAGCTAATAGATCTTGTTCGCAGGGCTGTACTCATGCAGAATAGAGCACTTATAATACGGTAGTACAGAAAGACAGAAATGTGCCTTTATTTTAGTCTACTTTGTAATCTATCCTTTCTTAAACTTGAACTTTGAACTTTCGTCTTTTTTTAAGGCTGCATTAAATTTTGGAGTAACTAATTTTTTGTCTTCTTTTTATCCAGTTAAAAATTCAGTTTAAATCATTCGTTTCAATTCAATTTACAAATGAAATTTTGGCGAATTTGACAGGGTCATACTTCTCAGAGTATGGGTATGAAAAAGTCATGTTTAGTGTTTGTGTTTGTTACATCTTCTTAGCTTTTAAAGCTGTCAACAACCTTCTTCCTACATATTTAAGTGACTTGTTTACTATTCGTGAGAACATTAAGAATCTAAGGGGCACCAACAAGCTTGTCATCCCTGAAGTTAACACCACCCGTTATGGGACTAAGTCCGTGGCCTACACTGCTTCAAAAGCTTGGAATTCACTTCCGGATACACTACGTTGTATGAAGACACTTAAAGATTTTAAGATTGCGGTTAGATCTATTGTAAATTTACATATGTAAACCAGTCTTAGCTGTTATGTATTTATATCTTGTAATTTTTTAATTTCAATTTTCTTTCGTTTAAAGTTATTTTTCTCGGTAAATTAGCA